CTTGGACTGCAAAAAGATCAAATCAGTCAGTCCTAAAAGAAATCAACCCTGACTGTTCCCTGGAAGGCCAGATAATGAAACTGAAGCTCAAATACTTTGATCACCAAATGAGAAGGGAGCACCAAATGAGAAGGGAGCACTCACTGGAGAAGACCCTGATCCTGGGAAAGATTGAAGGTCAAAGAAGATGGGGACGGCAAAGGATGAGATGGTTAGACAGTGTCATTGATGCAACTAACATGAAATTGAGCCAACTTCAGAGGAAGACAGGAGGGCCTGGCGGGAGATGATCCATGGGGTCGCGAAGAGTTGGACTCGACTGTGCGACTGAACAACAACAACAAATACATGATAATATGATCTCCTGATAAGAATAAATCTGCAGTTCACTGGCATATACAGTTGGATTCTTAACAAACCAAGGAAAATTTTCCTCCAAAAATCAGAAAACAGCTTGGTTTATTATGGACCAATTACAAATCAAATAATCAGGAATGCAACTGGATCCAATGGTTCATAACTTCTTGAGAAAACACATCCATATATTCCAAACCAAACGGCACCTAGTCTTGTTCCTAATAACATAACCGGTAGTGTGACAGGGCAAAATTCCTCAAGCAGTTTATCATGAGTTCCCAAATCCCCCCCCCTGGAGCTGCTCTGTCATCAAAAGGGAGATCTCTCTTTTTCTCTCTTCCTTCTCATTTCCTCACCTATCATCCTACCACAATGCCATAAGCAAGGAGTGAAAGGAAAAGAGATTTTCCTCTTTCCTTTCTGCCAGAACAGCAGAACTCATTAGATAAGCAGTGAGTTGAGTAGATGTGTAGAAGAGAGTTGTTAAAATCAAACCTAGGGATCCATTGCCTAAAAGTATCACATTTGCCTTATTCAGTACTATTGCCTTAAAATTACGTATTCCTCATCGTCAAAGCCAAATTTCTGAAGTGAAATTTGAAACCGCCACAAGCTACCCAGAATTGCACCAAAATTCATGGAAGTTTGTTATGGTTACGGTTTTTCAGTTTGTGGATGACAAACCGGCCAAAATTTGTGGCAAACTTTGTCAGCTGGTTCATGCCCATCCCTAGTTCTACCACATTCAGTTGCATATGTAGACCAAAGTTAAAAATTCTATAAGTGTTACTGATTATTGATATTGTGCAAAATTTAGTTTCAGCCCTATTTTGTTCACAGAAAGTGACTAGTATCCTTTCAGGCTGAAGGACATTCCTTCATCTTAAGCAGCCCTTCCTCCAAATGCCTCTTCCAAAGGGTGTAGACTTTCCAATTTCCCAGGGGGGGGGGGGCTGGGCCAGAGGCATTGCTTTGCTAGGAGCAAGGGTGGCTCCCAGGGGAGGCTGAGATTTAAATGGCTCTGAGCCTTTGAAACCCTCTGGTTCTGCTCCCCACCGCTTCAAAGCAGGAGGGAGCAAAAACAGAAGGTTAAATATGGGGTGAAGTACCTTCCAGGGGC